GCTATTGGAGAGATAGAAAAGACATTGGGTTTTTTTGTTTCTTGGTGTTTTTTTTTTCCAGGAGACCAGTGTCTCAGTTCTGTCTTAGTAGGAACGCACCTGTAACCATGTTTTAATGAAACCATCCTAGAGATGGATCATACGGTTCAACGATGTACAGTGATTGAAAAGACAGGTTGGTGTCTATTTTTCCTTTTAAAATATCTGAATGTGTATTTGTAACAAGTAAAGGTAAAAAAAAAATAATAGTGCCAAAAATGTTCAAGGCATCTCATTACGGTTCTTATATGTCTGTTTTTGTAAGATCAATATGAAAACCCATTGGGATTAAATATTTTTGAACAGGATACACTCTTGAGAAACGCGAGAATGAACTGAGCCTTCCTACAAGCCACTCTTTGTTTTTAAAACAGTGGGGAAATAAGTTTACAGAGATTTGTGAGCTTCAGAGAATGCATGTGATGGCGTGTATTACATGCTAATTCATATAAGCTGTATCTGTCAGCTACCACCCTGTGCTTTAAAAATGCACACACTCGATCCTCTTTAGCTTGGAGCTCAGCTTTTTGCTTTTTTTTGTAGAACTATTTAGCTAACATAAGTATTCTGATCGCCACCTGACGGCCATTCTTACCTAGTTTCATAGATGTGCTTTAACTATTATCTTTTGAAGCTCGCCCCTTGGAGAGCCTACAGAACCTCAGGCTGATAGCTTTCAAAACTACCCAACAGTCCAGAAGGAAGCAAAGTGTCTGCATCATCAGGCGGGTTGTATAAGGAGTGATTTGGCAAATATGTGGGTAGCTTTAGGCTGGGACATGACCCTCAGGCAAAAATGCCCTTAGAGTAACTCAGAAGGGTATGACCCTCCTCTGTCCTTGACTAGGCATGATGGGTCATTTGGGGTCCGATATTGTTTGAGTTGTTCAGCAACCCCAAAGGTAGGCTCTCTCCTGGGAAATTTTCATTTCCATTTTATCGCCAAACAGAATAAAAAGCAAAACAAACTTTCTAAGCTAGAATAATGAAATTAAGTCATTTTCCATTTTGTATATATTGATGCTAATAAAACAGATAAAAAAGAGTCCAGTGTATGCGATTTTTGTTACAGACACTTCAGGATGAAGTGGAATGTTTCCAGTTTTGGGGATTGGGTTGGAGTAACACCTGCTGATACTTTGAACGCTAAGACAGGACTTCCCCACTCTGGAATGGTTCTGGGACCTTCAAGGGATGTTTGGGACAAGGTGGGTTTGAGGGCACTGCTATCATCAGATGTTCCACCATCCTCCCTGTCTTCACTCAGCCTGCCATAAGAAAGCATCACAGACTAGATGGATTGAACAACAGAAATTATTTCTCAAAGCCCTAGAGGCTGAGAAGTGCAAGATCAGGGCACAAGCCAATTCAGTTCCTGGTGAGAGCTCTCTTCCTGCCTTACAGATGACCTTTTTGCTGTGTCTTCCCACAGCAGAGGGAAGGGAAAAGGCAGGAAGGAGGGGAAGAGAGGGAGAGAAAAAGGGAGAGGCATATCTGCCTCTTCTTAAAAGGCCACAGTCTTATCAAATGAGGTCTAACCCTTATGACCTTATTGAGCCTTAATTACCTGCTAATGGCCTTATCTCCAACTGCAGTCATGCTGAGGGTTAGAGCTTCAACATGTGAATTCTGGAGGGACACAGCTGTCCACAGCATTGCACCCCTGGCATGCAAAGTACATTACCTCCATTCCCACAGCCTCCAAAGTCCAGCACCAACAACTCGCCTAAAGTCTCATTTAAATATCCTTTAAATCAGGTATGAATGAGACTCAAGGTATGATTTATCCCAAGGCAAACTGCTCTCTATCTGTAAATCTATGAACTCATGTGTTTTGGAAGCACATGTGCTTCCAAAACACAATGGTGGGACAGGGGTCAGACAGACATTGCTATACCAAAAGGGAGAAATAAGGAGGGAAGGGGTGTCGGGTTTCAAGCAAGTATAAAACCTAGCGGGCCGGGCGCAGTGGCTCAGGCCTGTGATCCCAGCACTTTGGGAGGCCAAGGCGGGTGGATCACAAGGTCAAGAGATCGAGACCATCCTGGTCAACATGGTGAAACCCCGTCTCTACTAAAAATACGAAAAATTAGCTTGGCATGGTGGCGCGTGCCTGTAATCCCAGCTACTCGGGAGGCTGAGGCAGGAGAATTGCCTGAACCCAGGAGGCAGAGGTTGTGGTGAGCCGAGATCGCTCCATTGCACTCCAGCCTGGGTAACAAGAGCGAAACTCTGTCTCAAAAAAAATAAAAAATAAAACCTAGCAAGGCAAATGCCATTAGATCTCAAGACTTGAGAATAAGCTTATTTGGTTTGATGCTCTGCCCTAAAGGCCCACTGGGTGGCAGCATCACTTCCTTGGCTCTCTCAAGCTGCCCTGTCCACACAGCTTTCTTCAGAGGGCAGCCTGCCCCTGGGGCACTGGATGGGATTGTCCTGGCTGAAACCAGAGATACCGCCCTGCCCTTGAAAACAGAAGAGGAAAGAAACACTTTGGTTCAGGACCTATGGTGGCAATGGCACCCCTGATGATCCTTTAATCACCTTCTGGTTCATTCTTAGCACACATTCGCAGCTGAGCTCTGTGGTTTGGTCCCGTAGACTCCTAGAAGGTTAAGTGTTAGTCTTCATTCTGCCCTGCTTTCTCCACCCACTTTAGTTCAAACTGGCAGTATCTTCACTGGTTTAATTCCATTCCTAGGTTCTGCCAAGATAGCTGATGAAGTCCATGGGTTTTACTCATGATCTCTATTATTTATTTATTTATATTTTTTATAAGGACAGGGTCTCGCTATGTTGCCCAGGCTGGTCTGGAACTCATGGGCTCAAGAGACCCCAAAGTGCTGGGATTACAGGTGTGAGCCACTGAGCCCAGCTCAATATTTTTATCTCGTTAATATTTGAGATGAAAAAAAATATTTCCACATCAGCAACGTGTGTGTGGTTGTTTTTTGTTTGTTTGGTTGGTTGGTTTTTTTGCTTTTTTTTTTTTTAGACAGAGTCTTGCTCTGTCACCCAGGCTGGAGTGCAGTGGCAGGATCTCCGCTCGCTGCAACCTCTGCCTCTGGGTTCAAGCAATTTTCTGCCTCAGCCTCCAGAGTAGCTGGGATTACAAGCAGCCGCCACCACGCCCAGCTAATTTTTGTATTTTTGGTAGAGACAGGGTTTCACCATCTTGGCCGGGCTGGTCTCAAACTCCTGACCTTGTGATCCACCCATGTCAGTTTCCCAAAGTGTTGGATTACAGGCATAAGCCACCACTCCTGGCAGTAATGTGTATTTTTAAGAGCTTGGATCTTTGCTCCATAACAAAAAAAATTCAAGTGACAAAATTCTGCTTAGTTTTCCTTTCAAGATTCATTATATCCCCTGTAATACTAACGGGACCAAAAATGTTATCTAGGAAGAAATTGTAAAAGGATGAAAATGGGGATATTAGAGAGCAGGAAAAAAGTGGATGAAAGATCTCAACATAAGGAATGATATTCTTCAGTCTTGATGAGGTTAAATCTTGTCTTTGTCTTCTATAAATGCTTACCCTTAAAATAGACAAAATAGGCATGTTAAGAAGGAAAGAGGCAGATGTGGTGGCTCATGCCTATAATCCTAGCCCTTTGGGAGGCCCAGGTGGGCAGATTAGGAGGTTAGGAGTTTGAGGCCAGCCTGGCCAACATGGTGAAACCCCATCTCTACTGAAAATACAAAAATTAGCCAGGTGTGGTGGTGGGTGCCTGTAATCCTAGCTACTGGGGAGACTGAGGCAGGAGAATCGCTTGACCCCAGGAGGCGGAGGTTGCAAGGTTGCAGTGAGCCAAGATTACACCATTGCACTGTAGCTTGGGCAACAAGATTCCTCCCCCCTCCAAAAAAAAATTGAAGGAAAGAAATTGATAGTGTACTAATACCAAACACTTTGGAACATGACATGGTGAAACAGTCGTCATTGGCGAGGTCAGCAAGGAGAAAAGATAGAATTACAATGATTTTAATTGTGCTTAAAATTTTTTTGATTAGGTCGGGCATGGTGGCTCATGCCTGTAATCCCAGCACTTTTGGAGGCTGAGGCAGGTGGATCACCTGAGGTCAGGAGTTCGAGACTAGCCTGGCAACATGATGAAACCCGATCTCTAGTAAAAATAAAAAATTAGCCGGGCATGGTGGCACACAGCCTGTCCCAGCTACTCAGGAGGCTGAGGCAGGAGAAACTGCTTGAACCCAGAAGGTGGAGGTTGCAGTGAACCAAGACTGCGCCACTGCACTCCAGCCTGGGCGACAGAGTGAGACTCTGTCTCAAAAAAAGAAAAAAATTTTTTTTAATTAAACCACTCCTACTCTGGGCAGAGACGGTCTATGCTGGGCACTTCTTTTTTTTTTTTTTTTTGCGATAGGGTCTCACTCTGTCACCCAAGCAGGAATACAGTGGTGAAATCTCAGCTCACTGCAATCTCTGCCTCCCAAGTTCAAGTGATTCTCCTGCCTCAGCCTCCTGAGTAGCTGGACCCCACCAGCTACCGTCCCCAGCTCAGCCAATTTTTGTTTTTTTGGGTTTTGTTGTTTGTTTTGTAGAGATAGGGTTTTACCATATTGCCCAGGCTAATCTTGAACTCCTGAGCTCAAGTGATCCACATGCCTCGGCCTCCCAAAGTGCTGGGGTTACAGGCATAAGCCACTGCACCCGGCCCCACTTCTCTCCTACAGCTCTCAGTAGGATAGCGAGTTTTTTAAACGAGGGTTTGTAGGTAACCTAAGAGTTTTGTAATTGTTTCTTGATCTACCCTTCATAAGTTGGGAGTCTATTAAAATGACAGACACACATTTTCAGTGTAAGGTAAGTGTGTGTGGTTTTGTTTTGTTTTTTCAAAAGTCTGCAGCACTTACAGGCTTTTATTTTATTTTATTTTATTTTTTTTATTTTTTTTTTTTTTTGAGACGGAGTTTCGCTCTTGTTACCCAGGCTGGAGTGCAATGGTGCAATCTTGGCTCACGGCAACCTCCGCCTCCTGGGTTCAGGCAATTCTCCTTCCTCAGCCTCCCGAGTAGCTGGGATTACAGGCATGCACCACCATGCCCAACTAATTTTTCGTATTTTTAGTAGAGACGGGGTTTCACCCTGTTGATCAGGATGGTCTCAATCTCTTGACCTCATGATCCACCCGCCTCGGCCTCCCAAAGTGCTGGGAACTTATAGGCTTTTGTATTCGCGGGCAGTCTCCCATCCAAGATACTAAGTAGGTCTGATCCTGCTTAGCTTCCAAGATCAGACAAGCTCAAGACACATTTAGAGTGGCAAGACCCTATGGACAAGTATATGTTTAATTCATTCATCATTGTTTGCCGCCTCATAGACTGTTTCCTACATCTACAACAACAACAAAATAGTTGAATTGAGAGTATAAAACAAGGCTTTGATGACAGTTGTGTCCACCACCATCCTTAAGAACAGAGAAAATGACTTTGGGCCACTTTCTTCATCCCTAATATACCCAAGTACCATCAAATGTTCCCTACACATTACATAGGATTTAAAGTCAGCCATCCAAAACAGCATATTACAGCATTTCCAGAGAGTGGTGTGAAGAGGGCAGAACTGATGTCTTTTTAGTTGATGTTTTCTCCCGGGCCTGCATCCATTTGACAAACCAGTTCTCCCGATGACGCCTAGAAGAAAGGACAGAAGAAAAATGTTGATGGGAATTAGAGCAACACGGCCAAAAGCACACAATTTGGCCAAGCAGAGGCACCAAAATTGCTGTTCTTAAATCCTTCAAGTTCAATCTGTTCTCCGGCAATTGGGCAGAGGGCCAAGGGGTGAGAAATAAGAAAGACGTTCCATCTACAGTCTTTCCTCTGGCGTGAAATGCCACAAAATATTCCGCACACACACATACACGAAAAGTAGAAAAACTAGCTGTGATGTTTTGTGACTGTTATCGGTTATGAAATGGAAATCAGCAAAACTATGGAAATCTCTCTCTTGAGGGGGTCAGAATCGTATTTATTCATTCAAGACTTGTTTATTGGACATTGACCTCTCGTTGCAACATAAAAAGCTCAAGAAATCATTGCGTCCACCCAACCCTGAGAACAAGCCAGTTAAACTTAAAAAAAAAAAAAAAAAAAGTTTTTAAAAAACCCCAAAGGGTTCAGAGATCTGGGGACACAAATACACCCAAATTACTTAAATCCCAGAAAGAGATGAGCCCTTCTTGAGAGACAAGAATTTCCATGACTTAATCTCTGGGGGCACTGCAAAGAGCTAACATTTTCCAAGTTTGTTTGTTTGTTTGTTTGTTGTTTTGAGACAGACTTTCACTCTTGTTGCCCAGGCTGGAGTGCAATGGTGTGATCTCGGCTCACTGCAACCTCCGTCTCCCAGGTTCAAGCAATTCTCCTGTCTCAACCTCCCAAGTAGCTGGTATTACAGGCACCTGCCACCACACCTGGCTAATTTTTGTATTTTTCATAGAGATGGGGTTTCACCATATTGATCAAGCTGGTCTCGAACTCCTGATCTCAGGTGATCCACCCACCTCAGCCTCCCAAAGTGCTGGAATTACAGGCATGAGCCACCTCGCCTGGCTGGCTTCTTTGAAGACCACCTCGGATTGCATGGATTCTGATTTGCCCTATGGTGACTGTGCCTTCCTGGTTACAGATGGCATCTCTCCCAGCTCTCCTGTCCTGCTCCGAGCTTCAGGCATGGCCAGTATGTTCCATGGGAGCACTATGAGATACAGTTGGAGGGTAGCCACTGACCCCCTTTATGGCTGGGGCTTCTTGGAATTCCTAAGCGGCCATTAAATATTTTTTAAAAGGCCAGGCACGGTGGCTCATGCCTGTAATCCCAGCACTTTGGGAGGCTGAGGTGGGTGGATTGCCTGAGGTCGGGAATTTGAGAGCAGCATAGCCAACAAGGTGAAACCCCATCTCTACTATAAACACAAAAGATAGCCAGGCATGGCGGTGGTCACCTGTAGTCCCAGCTACTCAGGAGGCTGCGGAAGGAGAATTACTTGAACCCAGGAGGTGGAGGTTGGAGTGAGCCGAGATGGCACCATTGTACTCCAGCCTTGGCAACAGAGCAAGTCTCCATCTCAAAAAAAAAAAAAAAAAATGAAAAAGAAAGGAGAAAGCAAACAGAGGGCTGGGCTTCTCAGGAGCCCCATGGGGAGAAGCCGAATCAGTGAACCTGGGGCGGCCTGCAGTACCAGAGCTCGGCTGATCATTCATGGGCTTGTCACTCAGTCAGTGAAAGAACAGTGATTCCGAGGAAGGACAAATAAAGGAAAGAAAAAAGACGGAAAGGTCAGAGCATGCCCCGATGCCTCAGAAACCCAGATCCCGTTTCCCAGGCCTGGCTGTCCTTCAAGATTAGAATAATAGTGAAGACACAGAGCTTCTCCTGATGTTCTGTCACTAGTAGATGTGCTTCTGCCAAACCAAACAAGACAGAGACCGGGGCCAGGAGAGAGAAGAGACCCCAAAAAGTGACCAAGGCGATCCCTGTCAGGATAGCACAGTAACAACAATGATGCTGGCTGGCGTTTGCTGACCGCTAGCTAGCTCTATTTTGTTGTTGTTGTTGGTGGTGGTGGTGGTGGTGGTTGGTTTTTTATTGGTTTTTTCTTTTTTGAGACGGAGTCTCGCTCTGTCGACCAGGCTGGAGTGCAGTGGTGCGATCTTGGCTCACTACAACCTCCACCTCCCGGGTTCAAGCGATTCTCCTGCCTCAGCCTCCCCAGTAGCTGGGATTACAGGCACCCGCCACCATGCCCAGCTAATTTCTGCATTTTTAGTAAAGACAGGGTTTCACCATGTTGACCAGGCTGGTCCCAAACTCCTGACCTCAAGTGGCCCACCTGCCTTGGCTTTCCAAAGTGTTGGGATGACAGGCGTGAGCCACTGTGCCCGGCTTGTTTTGTTTCGTTTGTATTTTATTTTATTTATGTATTTATTTTAGAGACAGGGTCTGGCTCCGTAGCCCAGGGTGGAGAGCAGTGGTGCTCTGTGCAACCTCAAACTCCTCCACTCATGCAATCCTCCCACCTCAGCCTCCCACAGTGTTGGGATTTCAAGTGTGACCCACCACATCTGGCTGCTTCTTACATTTTAAATAAATACACTGTTTAAATTCTAGAATACTTTTTAGATTTCCTAGCTGTTCGATGCACTTTAATCTCTCATTTACTTTTGTCAGTAAAGAAACTAGCCCGTCTTCTTTTAGAGATGCAGCGTCTGATGGGCAAACAGGTGAAGTCACTTATCCACAGCTGGTACATGAGGGCACAGCACCCAGGAGGTCTGGCTCCCTGTGGATGCGAGGGTAGACATGACCAAAAGCCAGCCTTCAGATAGCAGAGCTACCTCCTCCCAGGGTGCCCAGAACAAAGCAAGGCTCTTTCAGCCTGGGGATGCCCTGAATGAAGGAACCGGCCTTTTTTGGCTCCTGTTCCAGGAGGTGTTAGGGATGGACTAAACAGTGGCTTAAAAGCTGAAACTCTGGGTTTGAATCTCAACTCCATCCATGATTAGCAGCTTAGTGGGGTGAGGGACCCTGGAGGGGGGTGATTTCTTCCTGGATCATGTGGGACTCCCCAAGAAAGATAAAAAGTTGGCCAGGATCGCTTGAGCTCAGGAGGATAAGGCTGCAGTGAGCTATGGTGGAACAACTGCACGCCAGCCTGGGCAACACAGTGAGACACTGTTTCAAAAAAATTTTAAAAGGGCCAAGAGCAGTGGTTCACACCTGTAATCCTAGCACTTTTGGAGGCCGAGGTGGGCAGATCACGAGGTCAAGAGATTGAGACCATCCTGGCCAACATGGTGAAACCTCCTTCTCTACCAAAAAATACAAAAATTATCCAGGCATGGTGACGGGCACCTGTAGTCCCAGCTACTTGGGAGGCTGAGGCAGGAGAATCGCTTGAACCCAGGAGGCAGAGGTTGCAGTGAGCAGAGATCACACCACTGCACTCCAGCCTGGCAGCAGAGCAAGACTCCATCTCAAAAAAAAAAGAAGAAGAGAAAAGTTATACTAACTGTCACAGAACGTTGGGGAAGACACTCAAAAGTGCCCAGTCATATCTCTTTCCTTTTCCCTTCGGTAACAGAATCCTAATTTTGTTCAGAGCAACAATGAACCTGGCCACAGGCAATGGAGTGTGGTCGGTTTTACTTGGGATAATCCTGTCACTCATTCTTTTCAACCCTCCCCCAATGCTAGGGTTGATCCTCTTTACTCCTTTTGACCAGTGAGCCTCAGCAGAAATTGGCTTGGGGCAGAGGGGCTGTTCTCAGAAATTATCCACTTTCCTGATCAAATGGGGCAGACACAGTTGCAACAGCTCCAGCCCCATGCCCCTGTCTTCCTACCCTGAACCCCGTCATGACATGTCATGACTTCCACGGCCATCTCAGAATGGAAGAGATCAGCTTGAAGACAAAAGCAATATATGAAGAAGGACGGGGTGGATAAGCAGAAAACCCTGAGTCTCAGGAATCCTAATACTGGGTATCTACCCAAAGAAAAAGAAATAATTGCATCAGAAAGACTCTTGCACTTGTACATTTATCACAATACTATCCACAATAGCAAGTTGTGGAATCGACCCAAGCATCCATCAGTAGATGATTGGATAAAGAATATGTGATACATATGCCCCTCACAGAATACTATGCAGCCATTAAAAAGCATAAAATCATGTCTTTTGCAGCAATATGAATGGAACTCGGGCCATTATTCTAAGTGAAATGACTCAAAAGCAGAAAATCAAATGCCAAACATTCTCACTTATCAATGGGAGCTAAACAATGGCTACTCATGGACATAAAGATGGAAATAATGGATACCGGGGACTCCGAAAGGGAGAAAAGGTGGGAGAGGAATGGGGGTAAGGGTTGAAAAGTCATCTGTTCATAATAGGTACAATGGTACCATGCTCACCATTTGGGTAATGGGTGGCATAATTGGTACGATGCTCACTATTTGGGTTATGGGTGGCATAATTGGTACAATGCTCACTACTTGGGTGATGGGTGGCAAAATTAGTATGATGCTCACTATTTGGGTGATGGGTGGCATAATTGGTACAATGCTCACTATTTGGGCGATGGGTGGCATAATTGGTACGATGCTCACTATTTGAGTGGCGGGTGTCATAATTGGTACGATGCCCACTATTTGGGTTATGGGTGGCATAATTGGTACGATGCCCACTATTTGGGTGATGGGTGGCATAATTGGTACGATGCTATTTGGGTGATGGGTGGCATAATTGATAGGATGCTCACTATTTGGGTTATGGGTGGCATAATTGGTACGATGCTCACTATTTGGGTGATGGGTGGCATAATTGGTACGACGCTCACTATTTGGGTGATGGGTGACATAATTGGTACGATGCTCACTATTTGGGTGATGGGTGACATAATTGGCACGATGCTCACTATTTGGGTGATGGGTGACATAATTGGCACGATGCTCACTATTTGGGTGATGGGTGACATAATTGGTACGATGCTCACTATTTGGGTGATGGGTGACATAATTGGCACGATGCTCACTATTTGGGTGATGGGTGGCATAATTGGCACGATGCTCACTATTTGGGTGATGGGTGACATAATTGGCACGATGCTCACTATTTGGGTGATGGGTG